GCTAGGAGACTGAACCCTCGTCAGGCTAGGTGGGCCATGTTTCTGGCCCGGTTTGTCTTCAAGCTCACGTATATACCAGGGTCACAGAACGTTAAGGCAGACGCCCTGTCCAGGCGATATGACACAGAGGAGAGGTCCATTGAGCCCACTCCCATACTTCCGGAGTCTTGTCTGGTGGCACCGGTGGTGTGGGAGGTCGATGCGGAGATCGAGCGGCCGTTACGTACCGACCCTACTCCTCCAGAGTGTCAAGAGGGGCAGAAGTACGTGCCGCTCGAGATCCGTGATCGACTGATTTATTGGGCTCACACGTCACCCTCCTCTGGTCATCCTGGTATTGGCCGGACAGTGCACTGCCTTAGTGAGAGGTACTGGTGGCCAACATTGGCAAAGGACGTGAGGGTTTATGTCTCCTTCTGCTCGGTGTGCGCTCAGTGTAAGGCACCTAGGCACCTGCCCAGGTGGAAGTTAGAACCCCTACCAGTTCCACAACGGCCGTGGTCTCACCTATCGGTGGACTTTGTCATGGACCTTCCCCCCTCCCAGGGGAATACCACTATTTTGGTCGTTGTGGATCGGTTTTCTAAGGCCTGCCGTCTCATTCCAATGACGGGTCTCCCTACTGCCCTACAAACTGCTGAGGCCCTGTTTACACACGTCTTCCGGCACTACGGGGTACCTGAGGATATAGTGTCTGATCGGGGTCCCCAGTTCACCTCTAGAGTTGAAGGGCGTTTATGGAACGCTTGGGGGTCTCGGTTAGCCTTACCTCGGGTTTCCACCCTGAGAGTAATGGGCAGGTGGAGAGAGTCAACCAGGATGTGGGTAGGTTTCTGAGGTCCTATTGCCAGGACCGGCAGGAGGAGTGGTCGGGGTATATCCCCTGGGCAGAGATTGCCCAGATCTCACTTCGCCACTCCTGCAGTAATCTGACTCCTTTTCAGTGTGTGTTGGGGTATCAGCCGGTTCTGGCACCCTGGCATCAGAGCCAGATCGAGGCTCCTGCGGTGGATGAATGGTTTCGGCGCTCGGAGGAAACATGGAACGCTGCGCATGTCCATCTGCAGCGGGCTATCCGTAGGCATAAGGCGAGCGCCGATCGCCACCGCAGTGAGGGTCCAGTGTATGCACCTGGAGATCGAGTCTGGCTCTCGACTCGAAACCTACCCCTTCGCCTGCCCTGCCGGAAGCTGGGTCGGCGGTTTGTGGGGCCATTTAAAGTCCTGAGGAGATTGAACGAGGTATGTTACAGGTTACAACTGCCCAATGATTATCGCATTAACCCCTCATTCCATGTGTCTCTCCTCAGGCCGGTGGTAGCTGGTCCACTCCAGGAGAATGAGATACGAGAGGCTCCTCCGCCCCCACTAGACATCGAGGGGGCTCCGGCGTACTCAGTCCGGTCCATCGTGGATTCGAGACGTCGGATGGGGTTCGCAGTATCTCGTGGAGTGGGAGGGGTACGGTCCGGAGGAACGGTGCTGGGTGCCTAGGAGGGACATCTTAGATCCCTCCCTCTTGACGGAGTTCCACCGGAGTCATCCCACTCGCCCTGCTACGCGTCCTCCTGGCCGTCCCCGAGGCCGGGGTCGGCGCACGGCTGGGGCCGCGCGTCAAGGGGGGGGTACTGTCACGGATTCTGCCGAGGCTGCTCCTCCTCCTTGCTCGGGCAGGCTTCGGCGTTCGTCGTCCCCGGAGTACTAGCTACTGCCGATCGATGTTTTCGGTGTTTGTCTTGTTTTGTCTAGATTAGTACACCTGTTGCCTATTAGTTTTGATTGTTTAGCCTATAATTTCCCTTGTTTCACGTTTGGGTTTTGTGTGTTATTGTTGTATGTCTAGTTGATGTTCGGCCTAGCTACTTCTCCAGATTACGCATATGGTGTTTTTCCCTCCAGTGTTGGAGATGTTTGTTTTGTGCGTAACTTTCAGTAAAGTAGTCAACCTGATTCTCTGTGTCCTGCGTCTGACTTCACTCGCCGCGTACACATCACCTCCTGACAGTTCCTAATACCAGATTTGAATTGACGCAATTTAACAGCGGTTTCATAGGTAAGGCTCCTTGCAGGCAGATTACCTGTCAAAGTGCTTTATAGGCAGATGCATATCTGATCCAGAGGGTGAGCTTTATTCCTGGCAGGCTGTTTCATAGGTAAAGCTTCTTGCAGACAGCCTACAAGGCAGCATCCTGACTTATCAGCCTCTGAGGCTGCCATTGAATCTGATTAGCCTGCCAGGAATACAGCACACCCACTCTTGATCATATACATAATGCACCGACTGACTGCTAATCTGCCTGCAAGGAGCTTTACCTATGAAACTGCTTTCAAGGCAGAATCCTGATTTATCAGCCTCTGAGGCTGCTATTGAATCTGATCAAGCTCAGAGGCTGAAATTGAATCTAATAAAGCCTGTCAGGAATGGATCTCCACACACTCTGTAAATGTAAATATGCTATTATCCATAAAACATTAAGTGTCCCAATTACACTGAGTGTACAAAACATTAGGAACAAAAGGGGGTGCAACTCAATATTAGGAAGGTGTTCCTAATGTTTTGTACACTCAGTGTATACACATCAATTATGCAAGCTAACAACCAGCATAGAAACAAGCTAGCTAGCTAGCTCACAAGACTAGCCAAGTTAGCTGCATTTTTGCTTTCATGTGATTGGCTGTGGTCTTGTTGGTGGCACACAGCCTGGGAGACAGGGCTGCCTGTCAGGCATCATTCAGGGTTTACATGCCTCACGAGCTCTTAACTCAAGGTAAGGGACATTTAGCTTGCTTACATTCTAATTTATAAACTGATAATGAGCTCCAAACACAAATGAAAGCATGATGTTAGCATGAAATGTACCATCCCTTAGTGTAGCAATCAATATAAATGTATGCTGATCCACCGTAGCCTCTGCTGCCTCAGCCATACTGTCAATCTATCTTCCACTCTTAATTATAGTTTCTCTTTATCTCGACAAAATAAATTTTTCTATGTCATGATCATCAGAAAATTATCTTGTGATCTCCACAAAACAAATGTTATGTCCTGATCATGAGATAAATCAATTGGGATTTCTACATAATGAGGGAATTACTTTTGTATTCATATGTTCTCTCTGCATGTCCGTAATAATCCGCATAATATGCGTATTTTCCAACCAGTGGTGTGTTTCCACCAAATGGATTTGTTGCGGATTAAAATCAATGCGCGATGAAGCAGTGCATACCAAATGTAATTTTTTGCTTACATTTTCAAAAATCTACTTTACCAATATTTTTGTCACAAAAACTGTTGTGTTAAATAACAAATGTGCCTAGAAATATTTTTTTATACATGCGCTGCTCAGTAATCTTGTCCACCAGCCAGCTCTCTCTCCCTCTCTGTTGAACCTATATGGTAGCAATTGAGCCTGGGGACAAGGTTATCTCCTGTGTAATAACAATGTAATAAGAACAATTACACCACAGTTATTCATTCACCTTTAACATATCACACTTACTATGTAAAGTTTCAAAAAGATCAATCTTTTAATCACATCATATACAAAAACAAACCATCCACATGAACAAGTAGCGGGGGTTGGCTGAGGGGTTATGATGAGCGTTCCATTCTCCTTTCTCCAGGGCCCCAAGCAAAGGTTTCTCACAATTACCATAGTTGACTAACTCACAATAGACTCAAGAAGTAGGTTTAGTTTTCACTGCCCCCTGTAATGAAAATAGAATCAGAACTGCCTGAAGAAGCAGAGTGTTCATTAATACTGTAATGTTGTCCCTTTCACCTCCAACTTAACAGGATGTCAGGTTGATTTTCCTACCTTTACACCACCTTTCCACCTTTGTCGAACATACCACAAGTCCATTGGAATCACATAAATAACAAGTACATGAAATTACAAAATTGACCTCTACACATGGAAATACTAGACCATCTTGCCTCTCACACTGCTGACACATAAATCATGAATAAGTAGGAGTTAGTAACTACTCTCGCAGCAGTTATGTAATAAGAACACTGACTGTTAACTGAATAAAACAGCAGTGGCATTGAAGTGAGCCCATAACATCACTCAGTAAAAGCAAACAGTCTGGAGTAAGTCCTTGGATGTCACCCAAATGGCACCCTTTCCCTATATAGTGCACTACTTTTGACCAGGGCCCTTAGGGCTTTGGTCAAAATAAGTGTACTACTGTATGTAGGGAAAGGGGTGAAATTTGGACACATTCCATGTTAAGACTATGAATCATATCGTGTAAAAAGACCGAGGACACTGCTATCTTGTTTTCCTTCTCTTTAATTCTCCTGATTTCCTGTATCCTAGAGAAGTTAACTTACATTTGCATTTCACCAGGACTAAAACACTAATTTATCACCGTTAACTGAGAGAACACTTAAATCTCGCCCACCTGATACTAAAACCTGTTCACCTCAAGTGAGAAACACAGCCCACACAATATCCAATGTGAGAAGGATACACAAAAGCTAAAAAAAAAAAAAAAAAAAAAAAAAATGCTGGAGAAAGAGACAAAGGGTATAAGGCAAGTTTGCATACGCCCATAATACAGTAATAGTACAATACTGCCATTTCATCATCGGGACCCATCCATCCCACTCCGCCTCAGACACAAGTCATCATAATACAGTAGAGTTGCATCCCAAATGGCACCCGATTCCCTTTGAAGTGCACTAAATAGGGAATAGGGTGCCATTTTGGACACAACCTAGGTCAATCCCAAAGCCACCCATCTATCCATCCCTTCTCTATGGTGTGGCCGCTGCTCAGTCTCAGTGCCATGTGACTGAATGAGAATCATCATCCCGCTCCAAAACACAGACAAACAGAGGCAGGTTGGTCAGGTTTGTCCGAGTTTGTTTGAGTCTACTCCTCTGTCCACCTCGCTCTCTCTTTATAAGTGGATTTAATACAGTGTTGGACAGTCCCCTGCAGTCCTCGGTGCTTGTCTCTCTGTGTATGCACCGTTAGCTGGTCTGGTTCTGCTTCATGTGGCCTTGGTCTTCTGGTTGTAGTTGCTGTCTGTGGAGGTGGAGTCCAGGTGGGAGAGGACGGGGGCCTGATGCAGGCCTTTCTGCTGCTCCTTCAGGCGCAGGTGTCGGGGCTTGACTGGCAGGGCTACGGCCAGGAGGACACAGCCAATGTGGACGCTGAAGTACCAGGACCTGGGAGAGGAGAGATGGGATGATTTAGGGATCAATATAAGAATCAGACAACTTTATTGCCATGCAGCAAATGTTGCAAGGAATTTCTCTTGGTGTTGTACACTGAAAGTTCACATCAACTATCACAACAAGTTCATTCAACTTCTCAGAAAGGGAACAAAAAGCTACTGTATAAAGAGAATTATTGTCAACATCAAATGTGTTTAATGCCCTCGACTATTCTCAAAGATCAAAAATCGAATCTCTAGAGCTTGCTAGCTCTATTCAGTCTAAATACACTGAACAAAAATATAACGTAACATGCAACAATTTCTTAGATTTGACTGAGTTACAGTTCTTAAAAGGAAATCAGTCAATTGAAATACATTCATTAGGCCCTAATCTATGGATTTCACATGACTGGGAATCCAGATATGCATCTGTTGGTCACAGATACCTTAAAAAAAAGGTAGGGGCGTGGATCAGAAAACCAGTTAGTATCTGGTGTGACCACCATTTGCCTCATGCAGCATGACATCTCCTTCACATGAAGTTGATCAGGCTGTTGATTGTGGCCTTGTGGAACGTTGTCCCACTCCTCTTCAATGTCTGTGCGAAGTTGCTGGATATTGGCAGGAACTGGAAAAACGCTGTCGTACACGTCGATCCAGAGCATCCCAAACATGCTCAATGGGTGACATGTCTGGTAAGTATGCAGGCAATGGAAGAACTGGGACATTTTCAGTTTCCAGGGATTGTGTACAGATCCTTGCGACATGGGTCCGTGCATTATCATGCTGAAACATGAAGCGATGGCAGCGGATGAATGTTACGACAATGGTCCTCAGGATCTCGTCACGGTATCTCTGTGCATTGAAATTACCATAGATAAAATGCAATTGTCTTTGTTGTCCATAGCTTATGCCTGCCCATATATAACCCCACCGCCACCATGGGGCACTCTGTTCACAACGTTGACATCAGCAAACCGCTCGCCCACACGACGCTATACACTCTGTCTGCCGTCTGACAGATACAGTTGAAACCGGGATTCATCAATGAAGAGCACACTTCTCCAGCGTGCCAGTGGCCATCGAAGGTGAGCATTTGCCCACTGAAATCGGTTACGACGCCGAACTGCAGTCAGGTCAAGACCCTGGTGAGGACGACGAGCATGTAGATGAGCTTCCTGAGACAGTTTTTGACATTTTGTGCAGAAATTCTTTGGTTGTGCAAACCCACAGTTTCATCAGCTGTCCGGGTGGCTGGTCTCAGACGATCCTTGAGGTGAAGAAGCCAGATGTGGAGGTCCTGGGCTGGCGTTGTGAGGCCGGTTGGACGTACTGACAAATTCTCTAAAACAATGTTGGAGCCGGCTTATGGAACATAAAATTATCTGGCAACAGCTCTGGTGGACATTCCTGCAGTCAGCATACAAATTGCAAGCTCCCTCAAAATTTGAGACATCTGTGACAAAACTGCACATTTTAGAGTGGCCTTTTATTGTCTCCAGCACAAGGTGCAAATGTGTAATGATCATGCTGTTTAATCAGCTTCTTGATATGCCACACCTGTCAGGTGGATGGATTATCTTGGCAAAGGAGAAACGCTAACTAACAGAGATGTAAACAGATTCGTGCACAACATTTTATAGAAATACGTTTTTTTGTGCATATGGAACATTTCTGGGATCTTTTATTTCAGCTCATGAAACATGGGACCAACACTTTACATGTTGCATTTATATTTTTGTTCAGAGTATGTCTGTCAGAAGGACTAATAGTCCTCTACATTTCAGCAATAAATTAGCCTGTTGGTCAGAGGTTTAGATAAAAACACAATTGGTTCTTGCACTTCCATCCAAGGTCAAACTATGAATACTTTTTTTGACTTCAGTGAGGTAAAGTACTGTTCTCTGGATGTGTACCACATGGCACCCTATTCCCTATATAGTGAACTAATTTTGACCAGAGCCCTATAGGATGCCATTTAAGACAGAGACATCGTTTTTGGCCACTCACCTGTAGAACTTCATAGAGGGCCCGACAGACAGCAGCACAAAAGGCACCACAGTGTAACAAATGGCAATCTGGGTGCCCGCCCACGTGATCACATCATACACTAGCTTGTGTGACGGCGAGCCCAGGAAGTACGGCCTCACGTTGTGTCTCATCTGGAGAGAAAAAAGAACCAAAGCAATGAATTCATTGGAGCAAAAGAAGAAGTGAGACAATAAAATGTACAACAAAAGGCCCTTCTAAATCTGCCCTTAACTCTCTCTCCCTCGCCAAGTTCACATTTCCCATATCGAAGGTTGCGTCCCAAATGGAACCCTATTCCCTATATAGTGCATGGTCCCTGGTTAGAAGTAGTGCACTATATAGGGAGTAGCATACAATTTGGGATGCAGGTAAGAGTACATTTTTCAACTGGACTTTCTCTCTCAGCTCATCCATCAGCGGTGATCTGCCTCGGTGAGTCTCAAAGTGACTCGGGTGATGCTCCATTAGCCTGATTCCTGCCCTGTCTGCTCTCCATCTGTCTGTCTGGCTGGCCTGTTAGGAACACCTTCCTAATATTGAGTTGTTTTTTGCCCTCAGAACAGTTTCAATTCGTCGGGGCACAGACTCTACAAGGTGTCGAAAGCGTTCCACAGGGATGCTGGCTCATGTTGACTCCAATGCTTCTCACAGTTGTGTCAAGTTGGCTGGATGTCCTTTGGGTGGTGGACCATTCTTGAAACACACGGGAAACTGTTGAGCGTGACCAGCAGCGTTGCAGTTCTTGACATACAGGTGCGCCTGGCACCTACTACCATACCCCATTCAAAAGCAGTTAAATCCTTCTTTAAACTGTCTCCTACCCTTAATCTACACTGACTGAAGTGGATATTAACAAGTGACATCAATAAGGGATCATAGCTTTCACCTGGATTCACCTGGTCACTCCATGTCATGGAAAGAGCAGGTGTTCCTAATGTTTTGTACACCCATAGGGGCCAGGGCTCTGGTCAAAAGTATTGCACTATATAGGGAGCCATTTGGGATGCAGATCCAGTCTCTAATAAATATGCTACTTCATTCAGGCTTTCAGAGCATACACAAAACATGTATGCACGCATGACTGTAAGTCGCTTTGGATAAAAGCGTCTGCTAAATGGCATATTATTATTATTATAGAGCACAGTGAGTCTCCATGGTGGACTAACTATGACTGATCCCCACACTGATGATGCAGAAATAAAGAACGATCAGGTTGAACATGGCTTTTTGTTTTATTTCTAATGGGAACGGAAGGGCCATCAGGATATATATGGTGATAGCTGAAGTCATTGACATTCAGAAAAAATGTCATTTGTTTAAGTGAATCACATTTTTAAAAAATCGGTGACTTTGAAAAGTTTAGGGCTTAGTGAGTCCAGACAGAAACAGGCTTGAGTGATAGAGAAGCCGGCCCGTATCTGAGTGTCAGCGTTTGTTTTAGAAGAGGGAGATATGGAAAATGAGAGATATACAGAGAAAGTGAGAAACATAAAGAGACACAGAGAGGTCTGTGTGTTTTGGAGAGAGCGAGAGTGACAGACAGACACACACCCACAGAGACAAGAGAAAGAGACAGTACTCACGGCGCGTGCGGCCAGTGTGACCACGATGCCGGTGAGGAAGGTGAGGTAGTATCCAGGGTAGGCGCCGTGCCACATGGCCGACAGGATGAAGGTAGCCGCCGTGGGGTTGTAGGGACAGCGCTCGTAACACACCCTACGCACAGACAGACAGACAGACAGACAGACAGAGAGAGAGAGCACGGATGCTATGGATTTCTATTTCTTCTGCATCCGTTGATACCAACCATCAGTCTGTGTGATTAACGGGGGCTGAGCTAGAGTGGTGTTTATAAAACAAGGGCGGATCCCAAAAGGGCCCGGGCCAGGGTCTTTTTACAAAAACGTCTGTAGAGTCCGAATGGTTTGAGCTAAAAACTATTAAAAGCCATCTATGAAAAGCTGAGACTCTCACGAACATGCAGCTTTTGCTCTAGGACGCTCACAGGCTAAACAAGTTGTTAGAAGGTAATTGGTTCTTCTACATAGAAGATCATAGGAAATCCCAGGACATAGTGTCTATACTACTATAATAAACTCACATAGTTGCTGTCACAAACTCCACACAGTTGTCACTGAATAGTTGGATATTCATTTCTCACTGAGCAAACAATTTCTGTACCTACAGCATTGATATACATTTTTATCAGGTTTTTGCTTTGGCAGACCTTTTTGTGTGTGACATTTGTCAATAAAACTCATGAATTCAACTGTTTATGTCACATTGTTTTGTGTTCTACTTGTAGCCCTGGTTGTCCTGAAAATAAAATGGTAAAACAATTCATTGTGAGGCTAAATATATAGGCTGTACATTCAGATAAATTAAAGTCAGATAAATGAAAAGGCGATTTTTGCTGGGGTCTCAGGACTGTTAGGGTTAATGGAAACTACTGTTAGTACTAACAGAATCCACTAGGTGGAATACTTTTAGACAGACAAGTCCCCAGTGCCTTGGCTATAGGTGCATCCACAAATTATTTAGGGAACACCTCGCATTAAATAAGAATAAAGCCTAAACTGTAATTACAATGTATTTAAATAGTATGTACAATGTGGCTGCAAGCTGGTGTTGATAATTAGAGAAAGAAATTGACTAAATGACACTCCTTGTGTCTTTACCAATGACAGACTAAGCCTGGTTTCTTTATCTCTGTACCTTTTGAGCCAATGTGCCGTCTGTATATTCCAATTGTCGAGGAACATCTTGAAGCTGGTGGCAAACTGGAACCAAGGCAGAGAAGGGAAACATCAGTATACAGTAACTTGAGCTTGTATTAGAGTTATGAGAAACATACTGAGACATGAACGAAGACAATGGCCCAAAAATCGAACCTCAATGTCCATTATCCTCAGATTGGAGATGAGATCCCAACGTGGTGAGCCGTCGCTGTTGTATCCGTTGAACCCAAAGCCTGCTGCGTTGTTGATGGCATCGGCTGTTCAGAATGAAAACACGTGCTTTTAGAAAACACCATCTCCTCACATGTCCCATCTGCACCGTAATCAATCAATCAATTGTATTTTATAAAGCCCTTCTTTACATCAGCAGTTGTCACAAAGTGCTTAACAGTTACCCGGCCTTGAACCTAAAGAGCAAGCAAAGCAGAAGCGAAAGCACAGCGGCCAGGAAAAACTCTGTAGAAGGACGAAACCTTGAGAGGAACCCAGCTCAGAAGGGATGTATTGCATCCACAAATTGCACTATTTATTAGTGATGATAATATCATTCTAGACATTAATTTGTTACTAACATCAGATCATCCATCATCCTAACAACAGCGTATTTATATGAAAGTGAAGGACAATACATCATGTTTATGACCAGTAAAGTGAAGCACCATATTACATCATATTTCCTTTGTGCTCCTGCAGAAAGCAGTGTGGAACAAGACAATGAGGCCGTGCATCCGTGCTCTGTGTGTGTGTGTGTGTGTGTGTGTGTGTGTGTGTGTGTGTGTGTGTGTGTGTGTGTGTGTGTGTGTGTGTACAGAGAAGCACTGAGTGAGTCCCACCTCTACCTGCTTGTTATCACCATACTCACACACACCTTGCTGCAAACAAACACACGCACACACGCCTTGTTGCAAACACTTCCATTATTAATTCAGCACTCCTCTCATGTGGACAGTACAGACCCTAAGAATAACAAGGCCATATTTTGAATATTGGTGAGGAGAAGCTGAATTTCTGACTAAGTCAAGGATGCTACATCCATTGGAGATTTATCAAATACAACTGGCTCATTAACAGTCAATGGATTCAGCTAAACTAAACTTCTGATCAAAGTTGGACTGATCTCATCACCTTTAAAGCTCATCTGTTCTCAGTCTGGGAGGGGTTACTTGTCAACATGGAATAATGGAGGATATTACAGCTAAGAATTGTTTTCAGGGTCAATCCATGAAAACAAACCTAAAGATAAGAGCTTTACTATGGAAAACTGTCTACGGCTACGCGACTCTTCTTCCAAAAACGATTATCCTTCCTTCTCACACACTCCCCATCATGGATTTGAAAGTGATGGATTGGTTTAAACATTGGCTGAAGGACAAGTGCACACTTCGAAAGAAGGATGGAGAATCAGACGGCAACCTATGGAAGAGAGAGAAGACCCACCCAGCGTCCAGACGAAGTAGTACTTGGGCCGGGTGGTCAGCATGGACAGGTAGAGGTAGACCACCTGGGTGTAGAAGGGTGTGGTGGCGATGAAGTCGTCGTCGATGTTCCGTTCCACAGGGAACACTTTACACACGGACAGGAAAACCATGAGGGAGAAGAAACAGGTGGCCAGCTTACGGACGACTTCAATCTGAGGAATGGGGAAAACGTCAGCCCATAAAAACACTGTGTCCCAAATGGAACTCTATTCCCTATATTGTGCACTACTTTTGACCAGGGCCCTATGGTCAAAAGCAGTGCACTATATAAGGGAATAGGGTGCCATTTGGGACGCAGCCTCCTTAAACTCACATCAGCTATGTATAATTGAGAGCTTCATAAGAGACAAAAGACAGCCATATGTTGCTGTTCCTTCAGTGAATAGGGAATACTGTGCATTTACTACACAGCAATGTTGTCCTCTTAGAAAGAAAGTTCCAGACAAGCATTGATAATAGTTGGCATGTTTTAAAAGCAGAGCATGCTGCCCATTTGGTAACTTTCCAGAACATCATAGTGACATTTGAGACCCATGCTTACATTTGGGGAGGGGTCAGTCTGTTTGTGCCTGCCATTGGCCTTCCCATTGGTCTGCTGGTCTCTATGGCGACAGCAGGGCGTGCCCTCAATGAAGGCGATGTAATCGTTGTAGGAGCATGTGGGGCCGGCCAGGATGCCCATGAAGTTACAGTTGTAGCTGAAGTATTCAAGCAGACTTGGCATTCTCCTACAGGGGAGGATGGAGGAGGCACAGATACAGTCATTACAGGGGAGGATGGAGGAGGCACAGATACAGTCATTACAGGGGAGGATGGAGGAGGCACAGATACAGTCATAATGCAGTCATTACAGGGGGAGACAGTCAGAGATAGTGACAACTGTGACACAAAGAAAGGGACTCACAGAGACCATCACAACACAGTCGCCCAGTCATTACAGTGACAGTTCAGACTGTGATACTGACTGATACAGGCATAGTTAGAATCCCCAAAGACACGCTCCTCCTCTCTAAAGAGAAACAATGTACCTAAAGACATTTAAATAACCTTTTAAAAGAGCTACATGAAATGCCTAGGCCTAGAGACTAGGGGTCGATTTTGGAATTCAGCAACTATAGAGCCAATCAGAGCGTCCTTACATGCTCATACAGGAAGCAGCCATTTTCTGCTCAAAAGAACAAAAACATATGTGTAAAACATACTTTATAGCCAGGATCTTCTGATTTGGAGTCAGCTGCTCCTCTTTCCGGCACATTCCTGTTGGGGGGAGGGACGCAGAGAAGAACACATACGTAATGCTTGCTTTTGATCAGGGTGGTTTGTGTTCAAGTTTATTCAAAGATACTCACTTTGACTTTCCAATGTATTGGAATGAAAACATTTCATAACAGTATATATGGTTGACAAGGGTGAGGCCACCATTCCCTGCCCATAGACTTCATCCCAGAGAGAGGCAGTGGTCTGAGAAGTCAGTGCTGTCCTGTCCTCTCCTGTGACTGTCCAGTATGGGTAATGACATCCGTTAGGTCCCAGTGCTCTCTCTCGCTCTCACTCTTTGCAGGTCCCTGCTGATCTAAAGGCTAATTAACAGACACTAAATTGACTACCAGAAAGTTTGGAGCCCTGTTGTCTCGCCAACCCCGCAGCGTTTTGTCTTGTTGCACGCCGCACACCGGGGATGAGGCGACCGGAGGGAAGTGGGCCGAATAATTCAGAGTTGTTTATGGCGGCCATTACGCTGATAACAAGATAAGTACAGCTAATTAGCTCACAATATTACAGCCTAATGCCAGCTAGGGACTGGAGCCACATGTGACACAGGTCATCCCTGTGTGTGTGTGTGTGTGTGTGTGTGTGTGTGTGTGTGTGTGTGTGTGTGTGTGTGTGTGTGTGTGTGTGCATGGAAAGCTATTTATTTTGATAGAGCTATTGCTCCTTATTCTCTCGAACACATAGTTTCTATCCTGCTTTCTTCTTCTATTTTACTTTTGGTCCGAGGGTTATCAGAGTACAATAGAAACAGTGTCCTCAAACGCACTGAGAAGTGAGAATGCAACCTTATGATCCGACTCCTCCACATTTCTATGGAGAAATGGAGTAAGTATGTGAGATATTCCAGTGATGTGGTGGCAGTAAACATGCCATAACATTGTAGGTGATGTGAGGGATATCCCATGATGTTACTAGTGCATAACATCTCTCTTTTGGTCCATCTGACATCAGAGGAGGAGACAGGCTTATATGATTAATCCAGAAATATATTCTCAATGTCTGGTTTGAAGGAAAAAAAGCTCCTTACTTACCATCGTGGATTTCAAACGTCAAGCTGGTGATCTTCTGTGTTATCACCATCATAGGCCTATGGAGAGAGAGGGAGACAGAGAGTAACAAAGAGGGAGAGAGGGAGAGGGACAGAGACAGTAAGATAGAGAGTGAAAGTGTAAAAGAGAATAGGGGGAAGAGGGAAAACAATGAGTGATCATAAGCAAAAAGCTATAATTAGGCTATAAAGCTGTCCCATGCCTTCATGCATGGTTTCACACAATCCTCCGACACAATGTTACATGAAGACATCGGGGCATTGTATTACCGCACTCAAGTCTTACCCTGTGAAGTCAGCAGAGTACATGCCATAGTCGAAGACGTACACACGCGTGATCTGGCAGAAGCTTAGATACCCCAGGGCCACCACCAAACAGTATCTGAGAATAAAGACAGACAAAATCACTATGTAGCTCACTACTAGGGCTGGGAATTGCCGAAGGACCTCTCGATACGGTATCAAGACGTTTACACAGATCAGACACGGACAGAATTGTATTAGCTTGGTTTCAAGGATGTTTAATTAAATAATAAACAAAAGAGAAAATAATAGGTCTCCTCCAGGAGACCTCCTCCGGGATACCGTCTTCTTGGCTCCGGAGTCTTGCTGTATCCTGTGGGGAACAAAACCGAGCTCCCTCCATTATCTCTGGTACTGAGCACGACTAAACGTGAGTAACCTCTCTTCCCCAGTCCCCACTCCCGTCAGCTGCCCTTCTGGCAGCTTTATGGGACTCGTCCAGCTGGTGAGCAATCAGCCCCAATTAGTCCTGGCCGGAGAGCCCGTCGAGACCTGGCACGTCCAGCAGAGGGAGCCATTGCCGCGTGATGTAGACACCGTCTGTCACCAGGCCTCGATGAGTCTCCCCCTGGTGGCTAACGGGCTGTACGCCACACACGATACTTAGTTGCCGATATGATATGTATTGCGATTCTCATGATGCTATATGTATTGTGATTCGATACTGCGATTTTATTGTGATTTGATGTTCCAAACATATTGTTCACTATATGTCTGCTGCAGAGAGATGAGGGAAAGCATGAGAAAACGAGTTTTGATCATTCAGGGAAATAAAAGTACTGAAAACATGTTGGCTCACTATTTAAAAAGAAGACGGAGAACAAGCTATAGGATGAAAAATACCTGCGTTTTGCCGCAGGTACAACCAACTAGCGCAAGCAAATACCTACAAATTGAAATTTGGAGTCAAATATCAATATAATATTGTCAAAAAATAATATTGCGATAGGTAACTAAATATTTTTTCCCGCATCACTACTCACTACTGTAAGCTAGTGTACATCTACAGTGGGGTCCGAAATCATTGACACCCTTGATAAAGATGTATTTTACTAGGCAGGGAGTTTAGAACAAGATGCATGGAGCTCCAGAGGTCACAAGGTCAATGTGGGCCTGCATGGATGTCAGCAGGGAGCAATAATGACTGTATAAAATAAATCATTCAAATACTGAGCTATATTGTATGAATATGCTTCTAACCACTTCTACATTCATGTGGATGCTACCATGGTTACAGATAATCCTGAATTAATTGTGAATAATGATGAGTGAGAAAGTTAGAGGGTCAAAGATCATATCCCAAAGACATGCTAACCTCTCACCATTACCAATAGGATGTCTTTCTCACTCATCATTATTCACAATTCATTCAGGATTATCCGTAACCATGGTAGCATCCACATTAATGCAGAAGTGTTTAGAAACCATATTATATTCTTATTTACAATAAAAGTGACTCCAAAATGACACAATACATAATTTACCATTCATTTCTATTCGGCACAAAATAATCAAAACAACCAAAACGAACTGCAAATGCATCCAACAAGTTTGTAGAGTCACAAGCTTGATATAGTATTTGTGTGCTAGGAAATCTGGGACCAAATACTAAACTTGTGACTACTTTATTTATAATAATCTTTAGGGGTGTCAATAATTTGACCCCTACCTTTTAGAGAGAGAAAAAATTATTACTTGTTAAACAAAATCGCTTTCTCTGAACAATTGTATTAGTATAAAATAATATAAATGACGCTTTTTTTTCGCATACAATATAGCTCAGTATTTGAATTAGCTATTTTATACAGCCTCCATTTACAATCTTCCACATCCGTTCATCAAATATTTCGTAAAACAATTGCCCGGGTTGTGAGACCAGCAAATAGATGCATTGATTTGCTTCTTAATTAATTCCTTCAGTGTTTAGTTTATTATGATCGCCATTAGCTCATGCATATGCAGCAGTGCTGATGTGTAAAGTGTGCAATCATCAGCATACATAATCATTTTAGCTTATTGTAAGACAAGTGGCAAATCATTTGTAAAAATAGAGAAGAGTATTGGCCCAAGGCAACTGCCCTGGGGGATACCGCACTGCCCTGAGGGATACCGCACTGTACATACAGTTGAAGTCGGAAGTTTACATACACTTAGGTTGGAGTCATTAAAACTTGTTTTTCAACCACTCCACAAATTTCTTGTTAACAAACTATAGTTTTGGCAAGTCGGTTAGGACATCTACTTTGTGCATGACACAAGTAATCTTTCCAACAATTGTTTACAGACAGATTATTTCACTTATAATTCACTGTATCACAATTCCAGTGGGTCAGAAGTTTACATACACTAAGTTGACTGTGCCTTTAAACAGCTTGGAAAATTCCAGAAAATGATGTCATGGCTTTAGAAGCTTCTGATAGGCTAATTGACATCATTTGAGTCAATTGGAGGTGTACCTGTGGATGTATTTCAAGGCCTACCTTCATACTCAGTGCCTCTTTGCTTGACATCATGGGAAAATCAAAAGAAATCAGCCAAGACCTCAGAAAAAAAATGGTAGACCTCCACAAGTCTGGTTCATCCTTGGGAGCAATTTCCAAACGCCTGAAGGTACCACGTTCATCTGTACAAACAATAGTACGCAAGTATAAACACCATGGGACCACGCAGCCGTCATAGCGCTCAGGAATGAGACGCGTTCTGTCTCCTAGAGATGAACATACTTTGGTGCGAAAAGTGCAAATCAATCCCAGAACAACAGCAAAGGACCTTGTGAAGATGCTGGAGGAAACAGGTGCAAAATTATCTATTTCCACAGTAAAACAAGTCCTATATCGACATACAGTGGGGGAAAAAAGTATTTAGTCAGCCACCAATTGTGCAAGTTCTCCCACTTAAAAAGATGAGAGAGGCCTGTAATTTTCATCATAGGTACACGTCAACTATGACAGACAAAATGAGAAAAAAAAAATCAGAAAATCACATTGTAGGATTTTTAATGAATTTATTTGCAAATTATGGTGGAAAATAAGTATTTGGTCAATAACAAAAGTTTCTCAATACTTTGTTATATACCCTTTGTTGGCAATGACACAGGTCAAACGTTTTCTGTAAGTCTTCACAAGGTTTTCACACACTGTTGCTGGTATTTTGGCCCATTCCTCCATGCAGATCTCCTCTAGATCAGTGATGTTTTGGGGCTGTTGCTGGGCAACACGGACTTTCAACTCCATCCAAAGATTTTCTATGGGGTTGAGATCTGGAGACTGGCTAGGCCACTCCAGGACCTTGAAATGCTTCTTACGAAGCCACTCCTTCATTGCCCGGGCGGCGTGTTTGGGATCATTGTCATGCTGAAAGACCCAGCCACGTTTCATCTTCAATGCCCTTGCTGATGGAAGGAGGTTTTCACTCAAAATCTCACGATACATGGCCCCATTCATTCTTTCCTTTACACGGATCAGTCGTCCTGGTCCCTTTGCAGAAAAACAGCCCCAAAGCATGATGTTTCCACCCCCATGATTCACAGTAGGTATGGTGTTCTTTGGATGCAACTCAGCATTCTTTGTCCTCCAAACACGACAAGTTGAGTTTTTACCAAAAAGTTATATTTTGGTTTCATCTGACCATATGACATTCTCCCAATCCTCTTCTGGATCATCCAAATGCACTCTAGCAAACTTCAGACGGGCCTGGACATGTACTGGCTTAAGCAGGGGGACACGTCTGGGTCTGCAGGATTTGAGTCCCTGGCGGCGTAGTGTGTTACTGATAGTAGGCTTTGTTACTTTGGTCCCAGCTCTCTGCAGGTCATTCACTAGGTCCCCCCGTGTGGTTCTGGGATTTTTGCTCACCGTTCTTGTGATCATTTTGACCCCACGGGGTGAGATATTGTGTGGAGCCCCAGATCGAGGGAGATTATCAGTGGTCTTGTATGACTTCCATTTCCTAATAATTGCTCCCACAGTTGATTTCTTCAAACCAAGCTGCTTACCTATTGCAGATTCAGTCTTCCCAGCCTGGTGCAGGTCTGCAATTTTGTTTCTGGTGTCCTTTGACAGCTCTTTGGTCTTGGCCATAGTGGAGTTTGGAGTGTGACTGTTTGAGGTTGTGGACAGGTGTCTTTTATACTGATAACAAGTTCAAACAGGTGCCATTAATACAGGTAACGAGTGGAGGACAGAGGAGCCTCTTAAAGAAGAAGTTACAGGTCTCTGAGAGCCAGAAATCTTGCTTGTTTGTAGGTGACCAAATACTTATTTTCCACCATAATTTGCAAATAAATTCATTAAAAATCCTACAATGTGATTTTCTGGATTTTTTTTTCTCAATTTGTCTGTCATAGTTGAGGTGTACCTATGATGAAAATTACAGGCCTCTCTCATCTTTTTAAGTGGGAGAACTTGCACAATTGGTGGCTGACTAAATACTTTTTTTCCCCCACTGTAACCTGAAAGGCCTCTCAGCAAGGAAGAAGCCACTGCTCCAAAACTACCATAAAAAAGCCAGACTACAGTTTGCAACTGCACATGGGGACAAAGATCGTACTTTTTGTGGTCTGATGAAACAAAAATAGAACTGTTTAGCCATAATGACCATCGTTATGTTTGGAGGAAAAAGGGGTTTACTTGCAAGCCGAAGAACACCATCCCAACCGTGAAGCACAGGGGTGGCAGCAAAGTGCTCTGGGGGTGCTTTGCTGCAGGAGGGATTGGTGCACTTCACAAAATAGATTGCATGATGAGGAAGGAAAATTATGTTGATATATTGAAGCAACATCTCAAGACATCAGTCAGGAAGTTAAAGCTTGGTCGCAAATGGGTCTTCCAAATGGACAATGACCCCAAGCGTACTTCCAAAGTTATGGCAAAATGGCTTAAGGACAACAAAGTCAAGGTATTGGAGTGGCCATCACAAAGCCCTGACCTCAATCCCATAGAAAATGTGTGGGTAGAACTGAAAAAGCGTGTGCGAGCAAGGCGGCCTACAAACCTGACTCAGTTACACCAGCCCTGTCAGGAGGAATGGGCCAAAAT